TCACTCTGTCCCCCGGGGCAGGGTTAGGGGTCCTTACTTGGCTCCCACGACCTCCAACTCGCTCCCCGTCTTGGAGGTCACGTGGCCTTGTGCTCTCATGGCCTGTCTCCCAGTCCCCTCCCTGGACTAGTCCACACCGGTGTGCCCAGTGCCCGCGTCCAGCAGGTACTCAGTACATGTGAGCTGGTGACCAGGTCGAGCGAAGGAACCCCAGACACAGCTCTGAAGTGATGTCCTTCAGTCATTCATTTACTCAGCAATCACTCATTCAACCACCGCACACAGCTGTGGACAGGACAGGAAAACTCCCAATGAACCTGCGCACTGTGAGACGGCTGGGAAGGGTGGGGGTTCTAGGGTGTGAGATAGGGTGAGGGGGCTCAGGGAGGGCCTTTCAGAGGGGGCTTGGGGACGAGGCCTGGGCCGCTGCAGAGGCTGGAGGTGGTCTGCGGCTTGGGCAGGAAGACGGCATTCCGGCTCTTCTGGCTCTTCGCGCACCTTTGGGTGATCCAGACAAGTGCTGTGGCCGCCCTGGGCTTGGGCTCGCCATCAGCAAAGTGGGGCAGTGGGACCCCGCGCTCTCTGGGCCCCTCGGGTGCAGACGTCCGGCTCCCCCACAGCCCCCGGCGCCCGTCCGTCTTCCGTGCAAACTCACACGCCACACCCTGGGCTGTCTTGCCATTTCCTTTCATGCTAAACCAAAGCAGCTATTTTGGAAACTCCTATAAGCAAACTAAGCCCTGGCTGGCGTTTGAGTGGATAAAAAAGAGCCCTAAGTGAGGGACTGAGGCATAAAAGCCACCCAGCCCCAGGAGCCCGCGACGTTAAATTTAGCCGCCTCACCTCTAAATGAGGTGAAATTGCAGGTTCCCCGCGCCGTGGGCGGGGGAGGCGCAGGGGCCGTGGCCAGCAGTGCGCCGGACAGATTTAGTGGGGGTGGGTCCGTTCTCCCAGCTGCACCTGGGGGTCAGAGGCCCGGGACAGCCCCAGCGTCTGGGAGCAGCTGGCCTGCTCTCCCTGCACCAGCCGGCTCCCGGCTCCCAGCGGTGTTGGTTCGGAGAGAAGCGTCTCGGGACACGGGCGTGGAAGAGGCCATCCTGTCTGCCACCGAAGGTTTGAGAACTGCATGTCCTCTGTGCTCCCCTCTGTGCAGGGGCCCTGCAGAGTGCTGGCCACCCCCGGCTGCCCGGAGCCGAGCCTGAGCGTCCCTCCCCTACCCACACGCCTCCCCTTGGCTCCCTGGACCTGCTGCGATCCAGCAGCCGCAGGGTTCATGCCAGCCGCAGCAGGGAGGGGAGGGGGTCTTAAAGACCCTGCCCCGCACCCTGCTTTGGTTCCCTGCTGTGCCAGTGCTTAACCATTAGGAATGTCACTCTTGGTTGCAGACGACAGACATTCATTGGGACTTGTCAGGAGCTGCCCACAGGAGGCTGCTGAGATTTTGGGGTCCCATCCCCAGTCTTTGGGGGGAGGGCCGTTTCCCAAGACACCAGAGAACCACCAGGCCCAGCCGGGAGGGGGCGCAGCCGAGCCGTCTGGGAGCTGCCCAGGCGGCTGGCCGCAGGGCGCACGGGGCTGGGCTCCCTCACCTGAAGCCTACAGGGGATGGGCCTGAGTTTCTAGGCCACTCCTCAGCGCTACCTCTCTGGCTCGGCAGGTCCCCTCCACAATCCTGGGACTTTCCTCCCTCCCCCGTCTGGCTCCTGGTGGTGTGTGTGTGTGTGTGTGTGTGTTTTAGTGGGGGAAGCCCGCGTGGCCTAGCCTTAGGAAGCCAGGCTTTGGAGTCCAACACGCCCAGGATCAAATTCCAGCTCTGGCATTGGCTACCTGTGTGACATTAGAGGAACCATTCCCCACCTTGGTTTCTTTATTCGCAAAATGGGGGTAGTAATAGTATTCGCCTCACAGGGTGTTGGGAGAATTAAATGAGGTTCGAAAGCCCCTAGAACGGGTAGCAGGCAGGACCGGCTGGGCCAGAGGCAGGGCCGCCCGTCGCTGCCCATGGCTGCTGCTTTGATGCATAAAGTTTTATTGGAACACAGCCATGGCCGCGCGCTTTCACCATGTCTGTGGCTGCTTTTGCTCTAAAAGGGCAGAGTTGAGTGGTTGTGACAAAAACCGTGTGGCCTGCAAGGCCAAAACTATTTACTGTCTGGCTCTTTACAGAAAACGTTTGTCCACCTCTGCTCTCTTAGAATCTAGTGAGTGGTGGTAATTCCTCTTCCTCTCACTGTCGCCCGCTGCTGCCCCTGGGGTGAAGTGGGGGCAGCCCCTCCCGCAGGGCCCCCTGGGCTGGTGGGGCAGACGGACCGGCCGCCACTCGCAGTCCACCGTGGCTAGAGGGAACGAGGGGCTGCGCGGGCCCAGAGGGTTGCTGGGAGGGGGAGGCGTCCAGGAAGGCTTCCTGGGGAGGCGACGGCTGGGGTGGACGATGACGATGACGGGGTGGGGGGAGTGAGCCAGCAAGCCAGTCTCGCGTGGCAGATGCTGTGCAGGAAGGAGCCAGACCTGGGCTGGGACAACGTGAGTCTCTGGGCCCCATCACACCCCTCTTCTTCCTCATATGAAGAATGGGGTCACCAAACCTCATGGCATTGTCTAGTGAACCCGCAGTCCGGCATGCGGGTCTGCGCTGAGCCTTAGTTCCCCTCTGTCCTCCTTTCTGGCACGCTGAGCGGGAAGACGCGGCTTGTTCTCGGTGCACTGCATGGAGAGGAAACGGTTGGCAATCGTCCTTCTCTCTGACCTCAAGTGGAGCGACCTGGGTGAAGTTGGAGGAATGACCCAGGAGGCTTCTGGGGGCCAGGGGGAGGGACCAAAGCTGGCCCTCGAGTCCACGTCCCAACCGCTGACCTTGGGGATCCAAGTGAGGCTGCCACCCCCCCCCCCCCCGCTCCCCGCTCGTCCCCTTCCCCAGCTGGGCTGGGGGCATCAAGCAGTTCCAGAAGGTTCCCAGGCCGCCCCACCCCTCCGAGTGTGTGCTGACGGGGATAGGCAGTGGTGAGCTGGTAAGAGTTTAACCAGCGTCAGAAAACAAAAGCATCTGCCCGTTTCCGTGGTGTAAATACTCCTGGCGTGGCTGAGTTCAGATACCGACACCAGCGTGAGTTCAGCGGCTCACACGGCTGCTGAGAATCTGGCCGTCGGCGGCTGTGAGCAGGAACAGCTGGCCGCAGCGCAGCGCAGGTGGGGCTTGGGGCCAGGCGAGGCCACGCACAGTGACAGGCGCCGACACCCGGGTCCCAGACGCGGCTCTGAGCTTCCCAGCTGGGGCTCTTGGGCCAGTCTTGGCACCTCTCTGAGCCTCAGTTTCCTCATCTATCAAATTAGGTGATGAATAAGGTCCTGCTCCTACGGGGTTGTGTGGATTTAATTAGATAATTTACATAAAGCATTTAGAGCAGGGCTGGCTTAATAATGACACTCGAGGAATGATGCCTCATTACCAGATTGCCTCAACTTCCCCATCTGTACTCAGCACTGCTGTTAATGGATGTACAGTCTGGGGCAGCTCCTGGCCCTGGGCATGCTGCCTTCCTCTGTCACGGCTAGAAGTCGCTGGCGCCCCTGCAGGGCTGGTCTCGGTCAGCCAATCACGCAGAGACAGCCGCTCTTCCCGGGCGTCTCGTGCCCACGGTGGGCTCAGCACGACTCTCCTTGGTTCCTATGACGGCCGCTGAGGGAGCCCTTTGCTGAATCCCATTTTACAGCTGTGACCACTGAGGCCCAGCTGGGCTTTGAGCCAGGTGTGGCTTGTTTCCAAGGCTTCCCTATTTACAGCGCACGTGGGGCGTGGGGCGGGTGCACAGGACCCCGGGAGGTGCAGAGCAAGGGCTCTGGAGCCCCCGGCAGCGTTGACCCAAAACCAAATGCAGGACTGGACACCGGGCAGATGCGGCTCATAGAGGGAGTGACTCCAGGCAGAGGCGCCAGGCGGGCAAAGGTGTGGAGGCTGCTGGGGAAAGGGGTGTTGGAGCGCAGGCGTCTCCCCAGGCTGGAATCGGGGGCCTCGGTGGACTGGAGCTCTTTCGTAGCCCTGGTCTGGGCAGTGGGGTCCCTGGACTCCTTGGATTGACACCCTGGCTGAGGAGCAAGGCATGAAACTGTAGCAGCAGAGATTTAGGTTAGATATGAAGGAGAACTTTCCAGCTGCCTGTGCTGGAAGACGCTGGGCTATGTTCCCAAGGGACGTGGTGGCATTTTTCCGATCTAGAGATGGTTTGGAAGAAACAGAAGACAGCCAGCGCTCCGGGCTGACCCCCTTGCAGGCTGGGTCAGAAACGGGTGAGGGACCCGGGGCAGTGGCAGTCCCTGATGCCAGCAGTCTGCCCTCGTGAATCGGGCTTTGTCAGCCCCTGCTCTAATCCTCCGGGACCCATGGCTCCTAGTGACCTGCCCAATGGCAAGGCCAAAGCCCTCCCTGCGGCTGCCACGGCCCCTCAGCCTCTCCGACCTCCTCTGGCGCCCCAGCCCAGCGAGCCTCCTGCTGCTTCTGGATCTCATCCCATCCTTTCGCACCTCTGGGCCTTTGTGCCGTCCCCTCTGCCTCGAACACCCTTCCCTTCACCCCTCCTCGGCTCTGGGGCGCTGCCCCCGTGGCCGGGTCAGCCACCCCGGCCTCCCACCACTTGCTCTGCGCCGCAGCTGTCCGTGGTTGGGGGCCGGCAGCCCTGGGGGAGGGGCTCCGCCCGTCTTGCTCAGTGCGCTTCTCCAGCACTGCGCTTGGCGTGCGGCAGGTGCCGGGGCAGGTGGGAAGTGCTGGGTTCGGGGGTGCCGGCCCCGCCTGCAGAGGCAGCACTGCTGGGGCCTGAAGAACCCGAGTGCTGAGTACAGAGCCTGGGTTCGCGTTCTGCTCCCGCCACTTGCCCCGGCGGGTCCCCCCACCTCGCAGAGCCTGCTTGCCCGTCTGGGAGCTGGGGACCGCAGGGCTGTCGAGGCCCAGAGCGGCCAGCACTCTCCAGGGGCCGGGGCCAGGCTGACTCTCGGTCCTCTCCTTGCAGGTGACGGCCATGTCGGTGCGGGTGCGGTTCCTGTCCCCAGGGGACTCGGGGGCCGTGGGGGCCGTGGGCCGCAGCGCCTCCTTCGCGGGCTTCAGCAGCGCACAGAGCCGGAGGATCGCGTGAGTTCCGCCCGGGCCATGGGTGTGGGGCGTGTTCAAGGGCAGGGAAGGGCGGGGACACTCCTACTGCCCGTGACCCTGAGGCTGGCCCTCATGCCGGCTTGGAGCCCAGCGGGGCATGTGAGCATGTGAGCATGCGTGTGCGTGACTCTGGGTGTCGGGGAGACCTACCGCTTCCTTGAGTCCTGAATAGTTGTTTCGAGTGCTCGGGAAGTGGATCTGCCGGAGCTCAACAGGCCCACCTGGCAGATGAGAACACTGAGGCTCAGAGAGGTGGAGCTGCTTGCCCAAGGTCACACAGCAAAACTGGGCCCGAGTTGGGACTTAGTCCCTGGGGGTGGGGTTAGGAAGGAATGTTCTTCCTGTTTGAAAGGTAGGCAATGGTGCCACCTCCCCTGGCTCTGTGACCTGGAGCAGGTGACTTCACCTCTCTAAGCCTTGTTTTCGTCACCTGAAAACTAGGAATCACAGGGCTGCTGTGGGGCACAACGAGGCCAGCGGCTGGCACACAGTAGGAGCTTGCGGGGTGTTTCCTCTGCAGGGACGGCCGGGGGGCAGCCCTGACCCTGGCTGAGAGTCCCTGGGAGGCGCTCCGCCGTGCGCCTGCCGCTCCGCCGTGCGCCTGCCGCGTGCCTGCTCCAGCGCTGGGTGCCGAGTCCCGGGGAAGAAGGCGTTTCCGCCCCGGGGTCACAGCCCGATGAGTCCAGGGCATCGTGTCGGGCACTGTGCGAGGGCCCAGGGGACTGCCCGCAGCTGGCAGGCCCAGCATCCAGAGGGGCCCGACCTCTGCGGGTCAGCAGAGGGGTGGACGGGTGGGCCCCGGCCAGAGCAGGGCACAGAACCGAGTTGGTGGGCGCCCATCCTACCTAGAATACGATCCAGTCCGCTCCGAGGCCTAGCAGCCCCGGCCCTGCCCACCGGTCTCTCCCCTGTGCTCCAGCCCAGCGGCCTCTCTGCCCCCCGGGCCTCGCGCGCTGCGCCGCCTCCCTCTGCTGTCCCCACTTAGACGTTCTGTGCGACTTTGGCCCAGAGGCTTTGCCTTCTCACCTCGCACTGGACCCCGCAGATCCCGTGACCGGCTCCGCCTGCAGCTCCCTCCGGCCAGGCCTTGGGGGGCTCTGAACTTCCTGTGTGCTCAGGAAACTTGGATGCCCAGAGAGTGCCCCCAGGTGGCCCCTGCCTTTGTTTACGCTCTGGGATTCCTGGGAGCAGCATCCTGGGTGGGAGGAGGACAGGGGTGACCCGGCCCCATGACACCAGGGCTCACCGGCCGTCAGCAAGGGTCCTGCAGGGCCCAAGTCCTGGTCTAGGAAAGATGGCCCCGACGGCCACAGGTGTCCTGGACCCTCCTCGGGCCCCAGTGTCGGGGGTTCCAGGGGACGCTGGGCCTGGGCGGGTTCTGGGGTCCCTGAGCGGCCACTGTCTGGCTTCTGCCTCTGCAGCCCCCTGTGCCAGGTGAGGAAGAAACTGCCCACAACGTCTATTTTAAGTTCCCGTCTCCGTTCTACTCCCCGGGGTCTGGACCCCTGGCTCCGAGGCGGGACAGCCGGGTCGGGTTTCAGGCCTCCCCTTCTGGCCTCATTTCCCAGGTAACTGAGCCCGGCTGAAATGCAGCCACGCTCAGCATTGGGGCGAGTTGAGCAAGATAACCTCAGATGGGGGAGAGCAGGGCTCCCCTTGGGGTGGGGGGCTCATGCCTCCTTTGTCCCCGCCTCCCACCTTATTGTCTTGAAACCCCTTTGACTCCAGACAGGCCTTTTTATTCCACAATCAGAGAATTCACTTGGAGAAGCAACCTGGTGGGGGGAATTTTACACTACGGTGTGAATGATTGCTATAAGGAGACCATTTCCCAAGAGCTGGATTTGGGGGGGAGGAGGGGTGGATAGGGCGATGGGAGGAGGACAGAGGGGATAAAGAGGGCCAGGCCCTGACTTGTCCCATTCTGCCCTGATTGACAGGCACAGCTGCCTGTCACCCTTTTCCTGCCCCTCAGCCAGGTCTCCCCGCCCCGGGCTGTCGGGCGGGGCCCTAAGTGGGAGCAGCAGGACGCGCTCACCACCGCGGGGAGTGTGCTCACCACCGCGGGGAGTCCTCTCCAACGGCTGGGAAGCGGGGGTGTGCGAACAAAATGGCAGCCCTTGGCTTTTCACGGAGAGGAGGCTGGAGGAGGACAGGAAGGGGCGGCCCCGCGTGCCTGACGCAGCCAGTGGCCGGGCTGGAGCGGGTGAGGGCGCGGGCCGGGCGGTGTCCTGCGCTGTGCCCAGGGCATGGGCCGCGGAGACCCGGCCAGGACACGCGGATGGCCGAGAGTAGAGTCTGAGCTTTGCAAGTGCCGTTTTGTCCTGGCCACCCACCAGCCAGTGTCACCAGACACCAGATAAATGGCGAGCTCCTGTCCTTGTTGCATGGAGCCCTCACCTGAAGCCCCTCCAGTGGTCCTGTGACTGCCCTGCCTGGAGGCCGGGGGCGGAGGCCGGGCTGGAGCCCAGCCTGCCTAGCTCCAGATCGCGCTCTTGCAGCCGCCCCGCACTGCGGCCTCCGACCGCGCCGCCCTGGCCTCACGTGAGGGCCGGGCCAGCGGGCGGCACGTGCCCGTCTGGAGGCTCGGCCGGCATGCCAGGGGCTGTTTAATATTTACTGAGTCCTCCCAGAGCTGGCGACTCACCCGCCCCCGAGGCTGCTCCTGCCTGGCTGGTGCGACACCTGGGCAGACACGCGGCCCGATTTCGCCATCCGGAGGCCGCCTGCCTGCGCGTCACCTTCCCCGGCTGGGCCAGCCCTCGCAGCGGCCGCCACGCCTGTCCTGCTGAACCCCAGACGGGGTGCTGGGCTCAAGCTTCCCGGGAGTGGAGCTGCCCGGGAGTAGAGCTGCCGGGCACAGCGAGGGCGAGGGCGCCGGGCCCCCAGGTGGACCGACAGGGCCAGGCCGAGGGTGCACCTGCTGGGGACTGTGGGCCCCACCTCGAGGCTGCCCCCGGCCCCTCTGAAACCAGCCTCTCCCTGGGGCCACAGCCCTGCCGTCCCTGCCGGGCTGAGGATGGCAACGTGGTGGAAGGCCCGGGCCAAGAGGTGGGTGATGTGGACTCCAGGGTGGGGGGGAGGGGCAGATGCCTCCCTGGCTCTGGGAAGTGTCGCTTCACGGCCGTGAACTGCAGCCACAGCAGGTGAAGGGATTGAGCACTGAGGACGTGCCATGCTCGTGCCCGGGGCTCTGCACACGCCTTTACCGGGGGCCCCGGGAGTGGCGGGAGGGGGCGCCTGCAGCCTCGCCCCAGAGCTGCCTGCCAGCCGCCTTTGTGCTCCCCGCTGGCAGAGCCTTCCTGTCCCCTGTTCAAATTCATGACCTCCCCCTCCCACTGGATGTTTGTCCTTAGCACTTGGTGTTATCTGATTTCTTTTCTTTTTTAAAAAAATTTATTTAGCTTGACATATATATGGCATTTTTTGCCAGGTGCTGCTTGAAGTCGTTTATATCTATCAATCCATGTAAATCTTGCTCTGGACCCCATTTCACAGATGAGACAGTTGAGGCACAGAGAGGTTCAGTAACTTACCCAAGGTCATGCAGCTTGTAAGTGGGGGAGTCGGACATAAACCCCAGCGTCTGGCTCTAGGCTTGTTACCACTTACCACAGTCTCTCCCAGCTGGCCCGTCAGCTCCTGGGGGCAGGGCTCTGTCTGTTTTGGCTGCTGCTCTGTCCCCAGCCCCTAGAATGGTGACTAGCGTAGAGTGGACACTCATTCATTTAACAAACGTTTCTTATCTCATAACAGCTCCATGGGGGCAGGCACTCTTATTGCCCCCTTTTTACAGATGAGGAAACTGAGGTTTGGGCAGGTTAAGTACTGGGACTGACTGCTGGGTTGGAGTTCGAATGTGGGGGGCTGACCTGGAGCTTGCAACCTGACCACCAGACGGTGTGGGCTCGTGGCTCTGCGAGGTCCCTGAGGGTCCAGGGCGGGGTTCCGGCCCCTCTGCGTGTTGGTCTGTTGTTCGGCCGTGCAGCCGTGGTGCAGACGCTGCAGGGGCTTGGTCCCCGTCGGCAGGGGTGGCCCAGACAGCTCCCACGCTGGGTCAACGGCGGGTGTCCACGAGCGTGTGTGGAATGTGCAGCATCCAGCCCAGCTGGAAATGCAGCCTGGCCGCCCGCCAGACTTCTCGGGGCCGGGGCAGGGTGGTGGCCCGTGGCCCTCTTCTCAGGGCCGGCAACAGAGCTGGCGCTTGTCCTGCTTGTGCCCGGCCTGGCTCTGCCGCCCCTGCTGCCCTGCCTCTCCCTGTGGACTCGAGGGTGGGACCCAGGCCCCTGGGCTCCCGTCACGGCGCCCGGCCTGGGAGGAGCTGCTCGGGGGGCACGTGGTGGGACGAGTCCCTGGCCCTCAACGTGAGACCTCAAAAGTGCAGTCAGCCCCAGAGGGCTCTGGGGAGCTCTCAGAGCGGGGTCTCCTTAGCGGGGGGCATCTCCCGAGCGGAGTGGTGAGTCTGGGGAGTCCTCAGTGTGGTCCGTGCACTGGCAGCAGTGGCAGCACCAGGACGTGTCACTGCGCGTTCTTGGGCCCCCAGGTCTGGGCGAGGCAGGGCCGGCGACCTGAGTCAGTCAAGTCCTCCGGGTGTTTCTGAACACCCTGAGAGACCCTGCACCCGGCTCCCAGCTGCGTTCTTAAGATCCTGTATGAGGGTTTGCACACGTCTGAGTTTGCACAGACACGCTACTACTCGGGCAAGTCGCTTATCTGAGCCTCAGTTTCCCTACTTGGCAATGGCTTTAAAAATAACACCTGCCTCCTAGGGTGGTTGTGAAGGTTGAATGAGATGTCTCTGCAAAACCCTTAGCAGCCACCTGGCAACAGCAGGTGCTCAGGGTGGGCCTGCGGTGGATGTGTTCTTTCCCGGGCCCCTGGGTCGCGGTGTTAGCTGTCCCAGCAGCCGTGGCCTGAGATTAACCTCTCTGCCCCGTGGAGACGTTAGTTCTCGCTGTGAAGGTGGCAACTTTCTCTGGGAGCTGACTCTGTCCTCCCCCGCCCTCCTGGGTCCCCAAAGCTGGAGGGCTCTCGGTCTGGGCTTTCGGCAGCCCCCCAGCTCTGCTTTGGTAAAAACTTCTCCTTCTGCCACTTGCAGACTGTGCGGCTCCCCCTCCCGCCCTTGCTCCCTCTGTCCCCTAACTGGGGATGGGGGGGTAGCCCCGCAGTCCTGCTCTGCCTTCCAGAGAAAGCTGAGCGCCCGCGGCCAGGATCTCTGTTCCCCGGCTCCCTGGGCGCGATGTGGTTCCCCCATCCGTCTTAGCTTAGGATTTACTGAGCGCCTACTGTTCACCAGGCTGGGAGCCAGGGGACAGTGACAGATGGATGTGACTATTATGACGATGCCAGCGTTTATAAAGCTGCCTTTGCGTCAGACGTTTGGCTTGGCATCTGATAGAATTCTCGGCACCACCCTCTGCTGTGGGTTTTATTGTTCCCTCCATTTTACAGATGGAAAAACTGAGGCTTGAGTGGTGTGTTAGTGCAGAGGTGAAGCTGCTTTGACAAAAGAACCCCCAAAATGCAGGCACTCGAGTAAGGGGTCATCCCTCTCTCGACAGTCCCGAGCCAATGGGCGGGGCGGGGTGTCTCCCCCACAAGGCTGTTCCGGGCTGTTCTTCCTCTCCGCTTGCGCTGCCGTCTCCACGGGGCCTTGTGCAGGGGTCGAAGCCGGCTTCCAGAGCATTCCTGTTCCCGCCCTGGGAAGAGGAGTCGGAGGGAAGTGCTAGCATCTCCCCTTTAAGACTTGACTCGAGGGCTCTAAGAGTCACTTCCGCCCGTGCCTCTTTCTCGAGAGTGGAGTCAGGAGGTCAGGGGGGCTGGTGGGCTTTAGCGCCTCGAGTGAGCCAAGGCCGTGTCCACTGGGCCTCAGCCCGGCGGGCGAGTTGCAGGACCACGAGAGGGGGGCCTCGATGCCAAAGAAGCCAGCTCTGCGCTGTGACGAGTGCCCCGACCCCTGCTCCTGTGATCGGCCCTGAGATGCTGTCTCTAAAGGTTGAGGGACCCAGCCGGCACTGCTGGAAGACGGTTCCTAGGCTCACGCAGTGCACATTCCCAGTTCCAAATGGCTTCAGCAGAGCAGAGCCAGCCGGCTCGCGTAACTGCAAAGTCCACCGGCAGGTTCTGCTTCAGGCATAGCTGGATCCAGGAACTCATTCATAACCTAGATCCGGTCTGCTGCTCTGTGTTGGCTCTGTTCTCCCCACATGGCGGCAAAAAGAGGAAGCGGGAAGTCCAGGTGTGTGTTCCCAGGTTGGCGATGCCAGTGGAAAAACCCTTCTCCCTGCTGTGAATTCTGGTCACTGGCTAGACTTGTGCCTCATGCCGCTCCTTGCCCACAGGAGCAGAATGTGTTCACTGGCCCAGGCCCGGGCCGTGGGTCTGCCTCAGGATGCCTGTGTATGCGTGTCCACGGGCAGATGCGTGTCCACGGGCAGATGCGTGTGTGCGTGTTGCTTTGTCAGGCTACCTTTCCCCCCACACCACAAGCATCAGAAGCAGAGCTGGAGAGATGCCCCACAGGGAGGGGGATGGATGCTGGGCAGGTAAAGCCAACAGGGCCCCACCCCATGGGTAATCCACAAGGCTACGATTTGGCCTCCCACACGGCTTTGCCTGCACAGGCCGAGTATGCTCAGCAGAGAGCGTCGGCATTTGAGCCGCTTGATTGTATCCTCTCTGTAAATGTATTTTTGATACCAGGTTTTTATTCTTTTAATCCTCAAACCCAGGCGTCTCATTTTACATAGGAGGAAACTGAGGCCCAGAGAGTTTCAACAGCTTTCTCGAGACCACACGGCTTGGTGCAGATGGGGGCGGGACTCCAGGTCTCCCGACTCCCTGGGGCTCTGGTCACTGTTCCCAGAGTGCCTGTCCCCGGGGCGGGGGGCTTGGCCGCAGCCCTGCTCTGACCTCTGCTCCCCTGCACCCCTCCCACAGAAAGTCCATCAACAGGAACTCCGTGAGGTCGCGAACGCCTGTGAAGCCCTCCAAGACGTACGGCACGCTGCGGAAGGGCTCGGTGTGCTCGGACCCCAAGCCCCAGCAGGTGGTGAAGATCTTCGAAGCTCTGAAGAGAGGCCTCAAGTAAGGAGGGCTGAGCGCGGCCTCTGGAAGGCGCGTCCTTCCGCCTGGCCTGCCTCCCCCGCCGCCTCTGGGGACGCGCGGCGGGTCTGTCTGTCCGGGTGGCAGAGGGAGCCCCGTCATCCGCTTCCTGAACAAGCGTGTGGGGTGCAGCCCGGCCTTGGGCGCCGGGCACGGGCGGTGAGCAGGGCGGGAGGAGCCTGGGCTCGCGGCGCTCCCGAGCGGAGGAGCGGATGGCGATGAACGCCATCGATTAGGTAATCGATCGACAACTGGCGCGGGCGCTGCGAAGAGGTGATGGAGAGACGAGCTGCTCCTGGCCGCTCCCCTCCCTCCTCCACCCTGCCGGGCCCTCCCCTGCCCCAGTCTCTTCCATGGCTCCCTGCTGCCCTTGGGAAGGCAATCGGGGGCGCTTCTGACCCTCAGCCTCTCCGGACTGTTCTTGCGTGACTCGCTCCCGTTCCCACTGTGCTCGGCTGTGTGTCGTCCGAGTGCCACCTCCCTTCCCGTGTCTGCGCCGCGGCTCCTGCCGGCCGGCTTCCGGGCGGCTCCATCTCTCCAGCACGGCGCGGCACTCCTGCTGCCCCGCTCGCCGATCCGTAGCAGCGGCTGTGACTCGCTTGGTGGTTTATGCCGATTGTGTCCCTGACTCCCTCGAGACCCCTAAGAGAGGCCCTTGGCTGCCCTTTCCAGATGAGGAAACCGAGTCCCAAAGGCGGGAAGCAATTTGTCTAGGATCCCTCGGCCGGTAAACGGGGAGTGGGATTAGAGCCACCGAATCGACTCTGGGCCAACGCTGAGCTGCTCGGTTGTGTCACCGGGGCTCGGGGCAGATGTCACCTCCCCACACCGCCAGCGTCCCTCCCCCTCCCCCCATGACCCTCGCTGTCCCCTCTGCCCAGCGCTGGAGGCAGAGTGGGAGCCGGGTGCGCAGGGCGGGCAGAGGCTTACCCCTGGGGTTGTCTCCCAGGACGTGGCCTGGGGTGGCACGTTTGAGACGCGCATCTGGGGCCAGCAGCACCTGGGGAGCCGGGGCGAGGGGTGGGCTAGCCAGAGCAGCCTCTCCCACACCTGAGTTGGCGCAGGTGGGGCCTGGAGGGCAAGTGACTTCCTGGTGTGACTGGGACCCACGGTGGGGCAGGTGGGCCCCAGCCCGGCCCCGAGTCCACACCCTTGACCCTGAGGGAGGCGGCTGTGCGCCCTCCCCGGGCCGGGCCCAGCGTCGTCGGAAACGCCATGACCCCGGGGCGAGGGTTGTGGCTTCCACGTGGTTTCAGACCTGCGTCCGGCCTCGCCCCTGCCGCGTGACCTGGGCCTGGCCTCACCTGGGCCTGGCCTCACCTGGGCCTGGCCTCACCTGGGCCTGGCCTCACCTGGGCCTGGCCTCACCTGGGCCTGGCCACTTGCTGCCTTTGAGGGTCCGTTTGCTCATCTTCAGGATGTGGGTCCGGCCGGGCGCGGTGGCTCACGCCCGTAATCCGAGCACTCTGGGAGGCCCAGGCGGGCGGATTGCTCGAGGTCAGGAGTTCAAAACCAGCCTGAGCAAGAGCGAGACCCCGTCTCTACTATAAGTAGAAAGAAATTAATTGGCCAACTAATATATATAGAAAAATTAGCCGGGGCATGCGTGGGCCGTGCTGTAGTCCCCAGCTACTCCGGGGCTGAGACAGAAGGATCGCTTGAGCCGCAGGAGTTTGAGGTGCTGTGAGCTAGGCGATGCCACGGGAACTCTAGCCGCGGCAACAAAGCGAGACTCTGTCTCAAAAAAAACACAAAAACAAACACATGTGGGTCACTGGAGTTCAAGGCCAGCCTGGGCAACATAGCAGGACCTCATCTCTGAAAAAACAAACAACAAACTGAAATTAAAATGTGCATGATAACGCAAAACCCTAGTTGGGGCTCGGGAACTGACCGAGAGCTCCCTTGTAACCTGCTTCGCGCGGTGCCGGGCGCGCGGCCTCAGTGCGCGGCGGCCACCAGGCGCCCTGTGAGCCTCGCTGGGCACAGTGGCGCCGGCCACGCCGGGCCGCCGGCCGCCTGGCCTGCTTCTCTTCCTTTTCTTGTTCCTTTTCAGTTGAAAGTTCTTCCTCATTCTTTCTGCAGGGAATACCTGTGTGTCCAGCAGGCTGAGCTCGACTACCTGTCCGGACGCCACAAGGACACCCGGCGGAACTCCAGGCTGGTGAGAGCCCCCTCCCCAGGCAGCCGTGGACACCCCCCCCCCCCCCCGTGTGTCTCTGTCTGGGAGCCGCGAGGCTCACGGAATAGACTCTTTGTGCTGGATCCGCTGTGCCCTGACCCTGGTGAACTTAGGCTCACTGGCAGGAACAGCGGGTGGCACCCTCGCACATCTCCTCTTGGTCTAAGAAGTGGACCGTAGCGGTAGGCAAATGCGTAGAGGCGTGCACGTTTTAGAGGGTCCTATTTTATAGGCCTTGGCTACCGGGGAGCCCTGGAATTGGGGCACCTTATGTGATGCCAGGAAAGGTGTCAACTCTCAGGTGTGTCACAGAGGCCCCTGACGCTGTCCTTGATGGAGCCTGTGTGCTTCCCCGTGCCCGGCTGCTTGGCGGTGTTCCTGCGGGCACCAGGGCAGCGCCTTTGAACTGACCCTGGCCCTGTCCAGCCCGAGGCTCACCTGCTCTGGGCTCTGGCCACCCGCTTAGCAGAGCCATAGTTAGCAAAAAACCAAAAGCAAAATGAACAAAAAGGAATATCTGGTTAAATTATCTTTTAGATAAATAACAAATAATTATTTAGTATAAGTATATCCCATGTGACCTTTGGGACATACTCATCCTGAACTAGTTGCTTGTTGTTTATCAGAAATTTAAACTTTAATTGGGTCACTGTACTTTTTACCTGGTCATGCTGCCAGAGTCCTGCTGCTCCGGGGCCTCTGTCCCCTGGGCCGGGAGGGTCCCTCTTACCAGCCTGGGAAGTGCCCCTCCTCTGTGCCCACTGCCACCCTGTGAAACCCCAGCTACCCTCCACGGTTGAGACTCTGGAAACAAAAGCAGAAGGCTCTGGTGCTTCGGGATCCTCCCCCCAGCCGGAGCGTCCCGGCGCCCCTCCTCCCCCCAGCCGGAGCGTCCCGGCGCCCCTCCTCCCGAGCACCCGGGTGCAGTGCAGGCTGCCAGCCTGATTGTGATTGTGGGCTGGAAACGGGGAGGGGAGATGAGTTTCTGCCAGAGCAGCAGCCGGCCACCTCTGTGTCCCGGCTCCCGAGGAGGAGGCCTGGGATCGGCCGGGTGGGAGAGGAAGGGCCCCAGCCCCGCGTGTGCCAGCCCACAGGGCGGGGAGAGGCCTGGTGGGCTCAGCCCTGCCTTGCCCTCTGTGGGGGGGTCGGGTGCTGCCAGGACCCCACCCCAGTTCCCCGCACCTGCCCCTCACTCGGGTACAGATCCTCACCCCGCAGCGTCCCTCGCCCCTTTCTCCTGGTTCTACAAGTAACTCTAAGTAAGGTAGGCAAGGGTGTGAATCTGTGTACGTGTTAGCTGCTCCCATTTCATAGACGGGCACACTGAGGCCAGGGACGGGTGACTGCGCGGAAGCCACGCGAGATGCTCACGTGGGGTCCCGCCTCCATGGACGCTGCTGGTTCTCATTTAACCAGACATCTGTTTCCAAGAAGCTGCTGGGCACTCGCCCTTCCTTTGGAAGGGTTGGGATCTTTCCTGTTTCTTCTTAAGTGGAGCTTTAATTTCAGGATCTCACATGCAGAATTTCAGATAAATACAGACATGGGAAAACAGGCTTTGCAGGGGGTTAACCCTTCTCTCCCTCTCGAATGACACCCCATCCCCATCTCTGTCGCACCCCGTTTAACCTTTGTGCTTATCTTTGCGTGTTTTTCTCCCTGGTCATGTGGTCAATAAATGCGTGTGGCAGTTTGGGGCCAGCAGTTGTCTCGTAAACTGAAATCACAGTGTGGCCCAGGTCTCGCCCCAGAGCGTCTCCCGACCGCGGAATCCCCCAGGCTCACGGGTAGTGGCTCTGATCCGTGTTGGCAGACCACAGCTTGCTTTTGTCTTTTTTATAGCGTTTATTGGTCACGCCTGCTCATTCGCGTATTGTCTACGGCTGCTTTCATGCCATAGTGGCACAGCCGTCGCCGCAGAGGTGGCGTGCCCCACCTAAGCCTAAAGTCTTGACTTTCTGGCCCCTTACAGAAAGGTCCGCCTGCCCCCAGCCGTGCGTTCTTGTTCTGTTAGTCACAGCCTGGCCCTGCTGGACAGACGTAGTTCACTGTTCGCTAAGGCTGGGGGTCGGTGGGGGGGGTGCCGGCTGCCTCCCCACCCCCCTCTCGAGCTCTCCTGGTCATGGCGGAAGCCAGCCCTGGAACGATCAAGTCACGAGGGCTCCGTCTCGTAGAGCACCTGCTGTGCCCTTACTCACTACAGCCCTGTGGGGCAGGTGCGATCGCTCACCCCCTCTACCTGAGGACATGGAGCTCAGAGAGGCTGAGTGACCTGCCTGAGACACATAGCTGGGAAATGGCAGAGTCAGACCCAGAAGTGCCCACTGGAAGTGCACGTGTTTAGTCCCCCTGCCTCCCTGGCCTGGACACGGCCCACATCTGCAGACCTGGGGGGGGGGTGCAGGGCTGGCTGCACATTCCAGCTCGTCGTCCTCCAATGCTGAGCTCGGGCGCCCCGAAATGTAGCCTCGTGGGCCTTGGGGGAGCATCGGGACTCTGACACCCCCTCCCTCCTCTTCTCGCCCGCAGGCTTTCTATTACGACCTGGACAAGGTGAGTGCGCAGGTGCGGAGCAGGGCGGGCGGGGCCCGGCTGGACAAGCCCGACGACTGCACTGCCTGGGGGAAATGCCTGGTTTCCCCCTATTCTACACATGGGAAACTGAGGCTCAGCGCTGAGCCTCTCTCATGGATGGTGAGGGGCTGGCCCAGCATGGGGCACAGTTCTCTGCGTTAGGACCCGAGGGAAGGTGGTGGGGACCGGCCGATGGCCCAGGCTGCTTTTAAAGCATCTTCCCCTTTTCCGGGAGAAGCAAACGCGCTCCGTGGAGAGGCACATTCGGAAGATGGAGTTTCACATCAGCAAGGTCAGCGACCGGGGCGGGGCGGTCTCGGCTTGCAGGGCCTCAGCTGGGCCGGCAGGCCTGGGGTCTCCCTCTGAGCAGGGGAAGGGCCTTGGGGTGCGGGGGCAGCTGGAGGGAGCCGAGCTGAGCCTGGGGGCGGTCGAAGGACTGCAGGGCTCAGCCCTGAGGTAGAAAATGGGGGTGTCTGGGGGTCCCCCAGGACCGTGTGAGCTGTTTCCTTGGTTTGTGCAGAAAGACCTCATGCTCAGCCTTAGAGGGCCGGGGAGGGTGGCCCCCACCCCACTGTGCAGATGGGAAAGTAGAGGCCCAGAGGAGAGCAAGGATCTGTCTAGGGACACACAGCTCTGTGTCTGCGAGCCCGTTCGTGATACGGCTCCAGTCCCCCGTGGTGGCCGGGTCCCCAAGCCCATCTCCTGTTGCACAGCTGACACGTCCGTGGGGAGAGGGGAGGTGACACGGCTGCGTTTCACTAGTCTTTATTGTGCACTGACTGTATGCCAGTCGCTGCCAGCTGCCGGGTGCGGAGCGGAGGAGGCAGCGGTGCCCCTGCGCTGTGGGCTCGCGCTCGGGGGCCGGGAGAGTGCTGCTCGGGGGGCAGCGCAGGGTGGTGACCGCCACCAGAGGCCGGGCTGGACGTGGCTCAGGGGTGGCCTGTCCGGGGGGCAGAGGTCGGCAGGCAGGCGTGGCCCGGCCTCGGCGTAGGCAGCGCCACCAGCCTGTGTGCCGCCGCAGGTGGACGAGCTGTACGAGGGCTACTGCGTCCAGTGCCGCCTGCGCGACGGCGCGTCCAACATGCGGCAGGCCTTCTCCAGGAGCCCACCCAGCCGCGCCTCCCGCGAGAGCCTGCAGGAGCTGGGCCGCAGCCTGCATGAGTGTGCAGAGGTGCGTGGGCTCCCGCGGGGAGGCTGCGGGGAGGCCCCTGGCGGCAGGGCGGGTGGCGGCCCTGTGGCCCAGCAGCCAGCTGAGCCACCTGCGGGGCCTTGCAGGACATGTGGCTGATCGAGGGCGCCCTGGAGGTGCACCTGGGCGAGTTCCACGTCAGGATGAAAGGTAACTGGGCTGGGGGCCGGGAGGGGGAGGGTCGGCGGAGGCCAATTTGGAGGGGGCGTCAGGCCTTCTTGGGGGCCCTGTGCTGGGGGTAGGGGGTGTGGGCCAGAATCCCAGCCCAAGCTTTCGTTCTCACGTGACGTGTGCCTTCAGGCAAGTCCCATTCCTCTCTGAGCCTCAGCCGTGAGGACCAGGCCCCTCCTGTCCATTTTCGTGGTGATGGCTCATCCCTGCCATCCCCTCCCCGTAAGCTGAAAACCTACAGTCAGGGCCAGGTGCGGCGGCTCACGCCAGCAATCCCAGCACTTTGGGAGGCTGAGGCAGGAGGATTGCTTGAGCCCAGGAGTTCAAGACCAGTCTCTATGAAATATACATTAAAACTTAGCCGGGCATGGTGGCGCACACCTGTAGTCCCAGCTACTCGGGAGGCTGAGGCAGGAGGATGGCTTGAGCCCAGGAGTTAGAGGTTGCTGCAAGCTGCCATGAGGCCACTGCACTCCAGCCTGAGTGACAGAGTGAGATCTGGCAGGGGCAGAGGGGGGCAGAGGGGAACCAGCTCCTCTCTGTGTTCCAGGCTTGGTGGGCTACGCACGCCTGTGTCCTGGAGACCAGTATGAGGTACGGCCACCCTCCGGAGCCGCTGGGCACCCAGGTCGCGGCTGGGGGGCTCTGCCTGGCAGGGAGGGGGTGCCCAGCTGTGGCGCCGACCGCCCCCCTCTCCCGCTCACCCGCAGGTGCTCATGCGCCTGGGCCGCCAGCGCTGGAAGCTCAAGGGCAGGATCGAGTCTGACGACAGCCAGACCTGGGACGAGGAGGAGAAGGCCTTCATCCCCACCCTGCATGAGAACTTCGACATCAAGGTGGGGTGGGGTCTGGGGCGGGGCCCGGGGTGGGGCCGGGGCGCCAGGGCGCTGGGCGCAGACACCACCCTCCAGCCCCCACCCCCAGGTGACCGAGCTGCGGGGCCTGAGCTCGCTGGCCGTGGGCGCGGTCACCTGCGACATCGCCGACTTCTTCACCACGCGGCCGCAGGTCATCGTGGTGGACATCACGGAGCTGGGCACCATCAAGCTGCAGCTGGAGGTGCTGTGGAAGTGAGTCGCTGGCCCGCCCGGCCAGCCTGAGAGCCCGCCGGGCCCCACGCTCCCGGCAGCACGACCGCGCCGGGCGCCCCACTCGCCGGGCACCCCACTCGCCGGGCACCCCACTCGCCGGGCACCCCACTCGCCGGGCGCCCCTGCCGTGGCCCCCTCGCTCACGCCCTCACACGGGGGCCCAGGCCTTCTTGGCAGCCCTGCCCACCCCTCAGAGTTTCGATTCTTTCCGCACCAAAGAACTGTTGTAAGATGAGGACGACTGCCCCAAACCACAGACAGCCCTGGGCCCGTCCGAGCCTGAGACGGCCTCCGGCCACTGGTGACCCCGGCCGTCTGTTCTCTCCTCCAGCCCGTTTGATGCCGAGAGCCTCCTGGTGTCGCCCAGCCCCACGGGCAGGTGTTCTGTGGGCAGCAGGAAGGGCTCCTTGTACAGCTGGACACCCCCGAGCACCCCCAGCTTCCGGGAGAGGTACTACCTGGTGAGTGAGGCTCCTCCCGGGCAGCGATGCCGCGGCCATGCTGGGATGGGGACGGCGGGCGGGCCCGGGCCCAGCAATCTGGCAGCCCAGGTGTAGCGAGCGTCCGGCTCAGCCTCCTGCTGGGTTATCCTGGCTGGTTTTCTGTGCTTTGCTGCCGGCCCCCCATCCTAGACTGCGTCCTGGGCTTGCCTGCTGCTTCCGGACACCTGGAATGGGCTTTCTCCACCCCAGCCATGGCCTCCGCCTTGTTTTACCTGTGTTAAGCTTGATGTGTGTTTCCGGTGGTATTACTCGGTATAGCGCGCAGTGGGACATCTCCCTTTCCCGTGATCTCCAGGGATCAGGGTCCCTTCCTTAGAGCCACTCCTGTTGTCAGTTTCTCCCACATCCTCCCAGAGCTACTCTGTGCCAGCTGCAAGCAAATGCACCTTCTCCGTCTTGCATTGCCTTTGACACCTAATGAGTATTGGGGACTGTGCCCCTCACCTCCCGGAGGGCTGCTTCATTCCTTGCTGACACTGGGTCGCAGCCGGCACTGGGTCTCAATCCACACTTGGCTGCGCTGCACTTTTAGGAGACACAGAGGTGTTTGTTTTCTTTGCTATTGCCAATGACAGGGCAGTAAACAGCCTTGTCCGCAAATCGTGCTACCTGAGTGCGAGTGTCTCCCCAAAGCAGGTGCCCCGGCGAGGGTCCTGGGAGCTGGCCCCCGCAAGGTGTGTGGCTGGGCACTGGCACGGGGAGGTTGCTGTGCAGGTGGGGGTGCCAGACTCATCTGCAACAAGGAGCCCCAAGAGTAAAGACAATATCCAGGCACATCCTGTCCATCCCAGGGGACAGTGGGCTGGACAAACCTCCTGTCACCCTCTACGCCTTTGGCGGGGAAGGTGGCTTCACACGAGGCCCCCAGCTTGTGGAGGCAGAGGGCGCTTTCTTGTCCGGCATGGTGGGACCCGGCATATTTTGATTAAAAAACCATCTATGGCCAGGAGCATGGGCTCTGCAGCCAGACAGCCTGGGTTCAAGTCCTGCCATTGCCTCTTGCCTGCTGTGTGACCTTGGGCAAGTCACTCAACCTCTCTGGACTTCAATGTCTGTATCAGAGAAGTGAGGGTAACAATTCGGCCCTTGTGGGGATACTATGAGCATCCAGTGGGTTAACAAACGGGAAGTGCTTAAAAGAATGCCCGGCAGCAACAGACCATGTGAACACGCTCCACCACGACTGGTCCAGGGACCAGGGCCTGGGAAGGGCCTGGCGAGGGATTCGGGTTCTGGCACGGGACTCCCTGCCAGTGGGGCCCGAGGCCCAACCCTCTGAGGTTAGAACAGTGCTCCCCTCGCAGGGGCTGGGGCGGGTCAGGGAGGCCTGACGTGGAGCCCCGAGCAGGGCAGGTAAGGCCAGATGCGTGACGACAGCTGCCGCCGTCTCTGCGATGCCGAGCACACCCTGTGCGTCCGGCCCTTCGTTGGCGCGCTTCATGCAAAGCCACGTGCCGGGCTCTGCTGCGTGCCAGGTGAGGGCCGTGTCCCCGGGCAGCCGAAATTCCATGGGGAGGGGACAGACGTCAAAGTCGGAGAACCACACAGCCACCCAAAGCGGGGTGCGAGGACCGTGGGAAACAGCGGGGACGGGGCTTCTAGGGCCAGCGTGGAGAGGGGGTGTCCAGGGAAGGTGGGTGGCACCTGAGTAAGGACCTGAGGAGGTGAGGGCGCAAGCCGTGAAGGCACGTGGGGAAGAACGTTCTAGACAGGGAGCACAGCCAGTGCAAGGCTCCCGGGGCAGGAACGCGTGAGAAACAGGAAGGAGACTGCTTCGGGTGGAAAGGAGTTAGGGGTGACAAGGGACAAGCGTGGAAAAGGGGACAGGGCCCTACCCTGCCTCTGGGATACTAGCCACCTGGCAGAGCCCCGTCACCCCAAGAGCGTGGGAGTGCCAAGCGCAGGTCTCGGGGGGGGGCCCTCTGGGGGCCCGTGCGGTCCCTGGAGTGGCTGGTGAGATGCTCTGTGTCCCTCTCCAGTCTGTGCTGCGGCAGCCGGCGCAGCAGGCCTTGCTGCTGGGCGGGCCGAGGGCCACCTGCATCCTCGGCTACCTGTCTGACGGCGACCTTCGGGGTCCCGGCCTGCGGAGCCGCAGCCAGGAGCTGCCCGAGATGGACTCCCTCAGCTCCGAGGACCCCCGGGATGCGGAGACCAGCACGCTGGCGTCCACCCCGGACGTGGGGTTCCTGCCCTCGGCCATCGGCCCCGACGCCTCCATTGAAGAGGAGGCCCAGGAGGCGCCCCCGTCCCCGGGCCTGCTGCCAGGCATGGCCCACCTGGCAGGGGGCGCGTTTGTGGAGCGGCCTGGCTGGAGGGACTTGGGGGCAGAGAGCCCCAACCTGTCGCAGGGCCCGCCGTTCCACGCCTGCGCCACCTCCAGTAGCCAGAGAGGCCCAGACGAAGAGGAAACTGGGGACAGAGCGGACGGGCCTGGCGTGGCGCTGGAGAGGCCCCTGCAGGAGGTCCTGGAGTCCCTGAGGTCCGCCGACACCGCCCAGCCCCCGCTGCGGGAGCTGGAGTACCAGGTCCTCGGCTTCAGGGACCGGCTGAAGGTACGGCCACCCCCCGCCGTGCTCTGCTGATGGCGTGACAGCTGTGGGGGGGCGCTGGGGGGACCAGGCAGCCAGGGCTCGCCCCTGCATGGGCCAGGTGGGCCATGTCTCTCTGAGCCTCGGTTTCCCCGTATGACAAGTGGGGGTGACGACAGCCCTCGCTGGGCGGGGGAGGATTACGGGGGAAGCCGGGCTGACGGTGGGTAACCCGCTCCACGTCCGCCATCTCGCATCTCTGGCCGGGCCGGGCGGGGCTGCCGTGTGGCATTGAGAACCCAGACCTAGGGCGTTCTCGGGGTCACGGCTGGCTTCAGCCATGCACCCCACCCCGAACCTTCTCCTCGGCCGGGCTCTCGCCCAGGGCTGCTCTCGGCTCACACGAGGGCTCAGGTGGCTGGTGGCTCAGATGTGGACCTGGGTGGATTCCTCTATTTGACCTTTCCGTTTACACAACTTTAAATGTATATAAAATGTACTGGTGTAGCTATTAATCTATGAAAGCACTCTCTTGTGCAAGATGCACTGGCACTGAGAGAGTTAATAGGCCTCTTCAAACTTTAGTTGAATTATTTCATCCCCACGTTCACTCTCAGTGTTACAAATCGGCACAGGTGAAAAAAAAGTTCAATTTCTCATTTCATAGCCAGTAACTTTTTAAAAATGTTTGCTGTTTACCACTGCCATGGTCTTTAAGAAAAATCTGCCTAGAAGTTTCAAGAAAAAAATTGAAGAAATAACATCACCTTTCTTGTACTTTTTAACAGCCTTTTCACACACACCGATTCGGGTCAGCACGTGACTTCTGCAGCTCACCTGCATTTTGAAAAGTGATGCCTGCTTTACATAAGAATCTGAAAGTAATACCGTAATTTTAAACATCTTGAGAAACTTTTTTTTTTTTTTTTTTGGCAGACCTGCTCAGAACAATAAAAATGATTATAGACCATGGCTTTTAGTTTGATTTTTCTAGAGCAAAGTTACACAATGCCCGTTTATCTGTGTATAAACATGTGTGTGTGCGCACATGCATCCACACAGACTCAGCTGACCCTCGCTATTCACAGATTCCATGTTTTCGAATCCACCTACCTGCTAAAATTTATTTGTGACCCCACATCGGTACTCGAGGTACTTCCACAGTCCCTTTTGGGGACTTGCAGAATGGCAGAGCATCTGAGTCGCCGATGTGCACGTCCCAGCTGGGGCTGCACGGACGCTCCGCCATTCTGTTTCAGCTCTCGTGCCGCCAACAAGTGTCCTTCTCGGGGTCTCCTTAGCGCCACGTTTTCCAGACGCTTGTGCTTTCTGTTGACGGCGTCAATGTTGAAATGCCAAGTGTAGCGCAGGCTGCTGTTGCTAAGGACGGCAGGGCTGCGGCGTGCCTTACAGGGGAAGCCTGCGTGTCAGACGGGCAGAGTGGTGGTCTGGTGGCCCCGAGTTCCGTGTTAACGAACCCGCAACATCTCTTCAATAAGGTGTCTTTAAACAGAAACACGCACACACGGTTCATCATGCCGATGGGCTGATAAAAACCGTGTGACCAGGGGCTCGCAGGAACCTAACCCAGTACTTCCCTTAGGAGCAACGGTTCAGCACTCCCTAACGTTTTTGCTGTGACTTTATAAGACAAAATTGCCTTGAACAATGGGAATCAACCATCTGTGTGCATGGATGTGTATATATGTGCATATTTACATACAGTTTTGCTCTGTCGGAAGGTGAAATCTCTGTGATTAGCCATAGGATTCTCTGTTGCTCGAGGTTTTCCCTTTGGGCTCCACTTTGAGGATCCCCGTGTTGGTTTGTAGCCTCTGCCAGGGCTGTCCCCTGGGTGCAGTTTGTGTGGGACAATGCCCGGGTGTGCAGGGGACCAGCCCTGGAGATGGCCAGGCGCTGGGGACAAGAAGACAGACACCTCCGGGGAGGCAGCTGCCACCAGAGGCCCTAATGACTTGGCAGTGGCCCTGGCTCGCTCCCCTCCGCTGCCCCGGAGGGTGGCCGCCCAGTCTCTCCTTCCACGGCCCCGGGGAGAAGCCCGGAACCCACAGGCTGCCCGGGGAGCTTTTGAGCCTCCCGAAGAAGTGTTTGAACCTATACCAGATTTTTAAAATAATTTGGAATTTGTCCATACTTAGAAACGGGGAGGTTTCCCATGAAACTCCAGAGGCTTAGATTTTCTGAGAAAACGGAGCCACCGGGCCACACTGGTCCGCGTCCCCAAGTGCTGGAGCCGGCGCGGCTCCACTTCTTTGGGGAGACGTCTCCCTGCCTCCGTGGGCCCTGCCTGGACTGCTCCCACGTTCCTGTCATTTGCCTTGTCCCCACAGGTGTCTGGGACTCGGGGGAGGCTTTTCAGATCTGTCTCCCTGGAGACTTTGCTCCACACCTGTCACAGGTCACTGGGGGGCCCTGGGGAGCGCCGTGCCTGTGCCCGCAGGGGGCAGCACAGTGGCTGGGCTTGTGCCGAGGGACGGGGCGTGGGGCTGGGGCTTGTGACCGTGGCGCCGTCAAGGCCTGGGCCCAGCACTGCCTGAGGCCTGGCCCTCCGCCCGCCCGCAGCCGCGGGGAGCCCGGCGGGAGCACGCGTCGGCCGAGAGCCTGACCGCCTGCGTCCTGGAGAGCTTCGCCTTCCTCAGCGCCGACTTCGCCGCGGACCAGCTGTCCCTGTTCGGGGGGTCCCAGGGTCCCCGGTGAGTGGCCCCCTCCCAGCGGTGACCAGCACCCCCTCTGCGTCACCTTAGCTCCGTGCTTTCCGCTGGCCTCCTGGTCTGTTTGTCCCGTCTCCCAACTCTTACTTATGCTGATGGTTCCTTGTGCCCTGGTCCCCGCACTCGCCCGCACGCCCACTGCCCGGCTCAGAGCCTCGGCGACCGCCGGGCAAACGAGAAACCCCGCCTGATTCCTTTCTGCTCCAAGGAATGGGCTTTTATTTTCTTTAATTTTAAAAAATAATGATCAAAGGCTGGGTGTGGTGGCTCACGCCTGTAATCCTAGCACTTTAGGGGGCCAAGGCAGGAGGATCGCTTGAGGCCAGGAGTTAGATTGCTCAGGGTGGTCACAATCTCTATAAAAAAATGGAAAACAGCCTGGCGTGGTGGCACACCTGTAGTCCCAGCTACTTGGGAGGCTGAGGCAGGAGGATCTCTTGAGCCCAAGAGTTCAAGGCTGCAGTGAGCCATGATTAAGCCACTGCACTCCCGCCTAGGTGACAGAGTGAGACCCTGTCTGAAATGAAGGAAAAAACAAAACCCCAACTGAGTACGCAGGGGAAGCTCTCTGGCCTCCACCTCGCCAAGGCGCTTGGTGCCCAGCGCTCCGCTCTCCGTCCCACTGCCTGGCCCGACTCGAGCGTCCGTGGTGGTTGGGCAGCCCCACGTGCCCAGTCCCGAGGCCGCCTCCTGTACCCAAGTCTCGGCAGCAGAGAGGAACATAAAGTCGAAACTGCTTACTCTTCCCGTCTCTCTCAATCCCACGGGGCGCGCACGCTGTCTCCAGCCTCATCCAAGCGTCGCCTCCGCCTTTCCTGAATTGCTGCGAGCCCTCAGCCGCCACCCTGCGGGGACAGAGAGAGGTGGCCCTCCTGGGCACAGCCTGGGCGTCCTGGCCCCATTTTGCAGATGAGTAAACTGACTGCTGGGGAGGCAGACTTGTCCAGAGCCACAGAGCAGGGATTAGTTTGAACCTCAGTCTTCTGAGTCCGGACCGGCTACGGGGAAGCTGCGCCCACCCCCGGCCGCGGGCCCACGCCACCCCCGCTCCCGTTCTCGGCATGGCCGCCTTTTGCTCCTTTTCCTTCTCTCTCTTTCTCCTCGGTTTAACTGCCTGGGACCTGGAGTTGGCCTCCCCGGGCCAGAGCTCCCTGGGGAGGGGGTTGCCTCCACCCTCGGAGGCGCTGACCTGCTGACCGGACGGTCACTCGGGTCTTCTCGATCCACCTCAGGAAGGACAGGACCCCGCCCCCACCGCCCTCACCGAAGTCGTCATCCAGGGACGTCACAGCCGGCGCCCCCGAGCTGGACGTGCTGCTCGCGGCCCACCTCCACGTCTGCAAGGCTCTGCTGCAGGTGGCTGAGGGGCTGGGCTTGGGGGCTCGAGTCCCCTTTGTAAAGTCTCGTGTCGAAGGGGGCGAGAGGCGCAGTGAGGGTGAGGCCACACCCTGAGAGCCAGCGAGACCAAGGCTGTTCCCCCGTGGAAGGTGCAGGCCAGGGTCTGAGTGAATAGTCAGGTGGCTCTTACGTAGCCCAAACCTGGAACAGAGGCTGTGGCTGCGACTCTTACTCTTACCCTAATGCAAACTGGCTCAACGAAAAGGAAGGCATATTGCCTCATGGTACTGAAAGGGTCAGAGATGGGCTTCAGGCCCAGCTGGATCCAGGGGCTCCAATGCCATCAGGACTGGGTCTGTCCCTGTCAGTTCTGCTTTGCAATGGGGGTTGGCTCCACTTTCAGCAGGCCGGCCCGCTACAGTGGCACGGTGGGCCCTGGCAGCTCAGCCACCTTGGCGAAGGGGCAAGCCCCAGACGACAGCCGCCGCGGGGACGGAAGGGACGGGCATCAGGCAGGGAGCCACAGTCATGACGAATGACCTGGGAGGGCGTGCTCCCCGCTAACCCGGGGCACTGTGGGCTGCTCCCCAGAAACTGGTGGCCCCTAATTTGTCACGGGTGGTGCGGGAGCGCCTCCTGGAGGAAGTGGCGCAGCAGACGCGGGTTCTGGAGACGCTTTCTGTCCTTGACTTTGAGGAGGTCGGCAAGGCAGCATCGGTTGAAGAGAGTGAGTAACCCCCCCCCCACGGGCTGCTCCTGTGCGGCAGGAAGTAACGGGGAGCAGAGCGGGGACCCGCCTCCTTCCCGATAACCGGTTAGCCGGGGCGGAGGCGGGTGCACGCTGGGGGGGGAGGCACCAGCTCCTGCTCTTCAGTCCGCTGTGTGACTCTGGGCAAATGGCCCACCGCTCTGAGCCTCAGCTTCCCCATCTGTGCGGTGGGAGGCCCTGCGGGGGCTGAGAGAGGTGCTCCCAGGCAGGGCACGGCACAGAGCACGCACCTGGGAGCAGGGGCTGTGAACCCTGTCCCGCTCTGCCCCGGGACCTCCCCTCCCAGAAGCTGGGGTTCCTTGTCAAGAGGAGGCTGGTGACAGTGGCCGCTCGGGGCTGCTGTGAGGACGGCGGGTAGTGACCCATGCAGGGCGGGGCCCCGCGTCGCATCCCGGCCTCTCAGGCCCTGACCCTGCGCGCTCAGTCGTTCCACAGGCCACGCGGAGGAGGGGGTGCCTGCAGCTCTGGAGGGGGTGCTCGGGGCCCGGCGGCGTCCTGTCCTGCCCCGCGACGGCGCTACTGGACCAGCTCAAGAAAACGTTCCTGCACAGAGTCCGAGGGAAATACCCGGGACAACTGGAGATAGGTAGCTTCCCTCCCCGGCCCGGCCCGGCCCGGCCCCGCCCTGGGCCTTTGGGACTGTCACGACAGGCCTCGCTCCAGCCCTGTCCTCACGGCAGTGAGGGGAGGACGTTCTTGGCCCGATTAGTCACCTTCCTTTTACCGGGGACAGAAAGGGCCTCCCCAGAGGACTAACGAGCAGCCGTGGGACCCAATGCATGCGCACACATCGCGGGTTGGGCGTCTTTCTGGGAAGACTCCATGCCTCCCACCAGGGCCTGTAAGGGGTGATGAGAGAAACTTACGGGAAGGTGGCAGCAAGGCCTGACAAGGACATCTTGAAATATTGGCTGGACCCTGCCCCAGAACACAGAGCTGTGGCATTTTTCTCTGTTGAGTGAAGGGTGACAGTGGACACGTGTATTCCCGGGCCCTGCCTCTGGGATCGGGTCAGGCGTGGCGCGGGTCCAGGGCTCCGAGATGCACCCGACGCCAGCTGACCTGGGCCTGCGGCCTCCAGCTGGAGCACACCCCTCCCTGGTGGACACAGGCGGCCCGTGGGGGACAGCCACTCACGTGTCCCCGGAGAGCTATGCTCCGCCACAAAGCTCCAGGGCCGAGGTCTTGGTTTCTCCTCACGCTCTCCCCCTCTGGCCAGTGTGCCGCAGGTTCCTGGAGCAGGTGCTCAGCTGCGGCGGGCTGCTCCCCGGGGCCCGGCTCCCAGAAGAACAGACCGTCACCTGGTTCCAGTTTCACAGCTACCTGCAGAGGCAGAACGTCTCCGACTTGGAGAAGCACTTCGCCCAGCTCACCAAGGAAGGTAGGGCTGGGTGGCGGCAGGTACCCTCAAAGTGACACGGTTATCGCGGAGGGAGCCCTCTTGATCCCAGTTTCTCAGAACCCTGCATCTTCCCCTCCAGCTGTCTTTTTGAGAACCTAGGTTTAATGCGATTCCGCATTCAGCCTGTGGGGTGAAGTTAGCTCCAAGGGAAGGCAGCTTTAAAAAGCGCAGAACAGAGGTCAGAGCTGGGTGGGAGGGTGATCTCAGCTGGCCCGGAGCCCCTCAAGTATGGGCTGTGGTTTGACTTTTCAGGGTGTATTTGATCCCTTGCTAGAAAGCTTTCCCAGACATTCCAGGAGGTCAAAAAACCAGACTGGGCCTTGGTGATCACTCCGTTCGCTCTGGGCTTTGCTCTTCTGGGCTAACGGCAGGGGCCACACAGACTTGCAGCTGTACTGCCCAGCTCCAGCCTGGGGACCCGGGCCCATGCCTCCCCTGTCTTCCAGTGACGCTCATCGAGGACCTGCGCTGTGCCGGGCAGGCCAAGGCGTTGCGGAAGCTGCAGGGAAAGCGGCTGGGCCAGCTCCAGCCCCTGCCCCAGACCTTGAGAGCCTGGGCGCTGCTCCAGCTGGACGGGCCCCCGCGGGTGTGCAGGGCCGCCGGCGCTCGCCTGGCCGGCGCGGCCAGGAACGGAAGCTTCCGGGAAAAGGTACAGTGCTGGGGGCAGGTGGCAGCCCCCTGGCTACAGGGGTGTGAGTGGGAGGAGGCAGGTGTTCTTTGTCACAGAGAGGCACAAAGAAAGGAGGGAGCAACGGGGCTGCACTGGCTGGGAGATACTCCGGCAGAGGGGCCTGGGCTTGGGTTGCCAGGCCACCTGAGGCTCACGTGTGGACACTGCAGGCCTACCACCTCTCTCTCTAGTGACATACGTTTGGCCTCTGAGATGTCACTTGCATGTCAAATGTTTTTCTTAATTTTGACAGTCATCTTCATTTAGTTTCAATGAGTGTTTGTGGCTAGCTGGCAACTGTTCATTGTGTTCAGTTCATTTGCAAACCAACAGACTAGACTCCTTGGTTCTTGGCCTGTGACTATTGTATGTTTGAGGCAACCGACTCTGAGGCAGGAAGGTGACACTGAGGCTGCAGCCTTTGTCTCAGCTCCAAACTGGAGAGGAACTCTTCACTTACATTGCTAACAGTGCTTCTTGGAACACATGTTTACTTTGTAGTGGTTTTTAACTCTACTTGGACTTTGGGATACATGCAAAAGTAGATAGAATATAATGAATGCACATGCACCCGTCACCCAAGCCCAACCACTGTCAACCCACGGCCCGTCCTGTCCCTCCCCATGCCATTATTTTGAAGCAATCCCAGACATCTGACTTATGTGTCAAAAGATTTCTTTCAAAAATTATGGCCAGGCGTGGTGGCTTACGCCTGTAATCCTAGCACTCTGGGAGGCCGAGGCAGGATTACTTGAGCTCAGGAGTTTGAGACCAGCCTGAGCAAGAGCGAGACCCCATCTCTATTATAAATAGAAAGAAATTAGCCAAACAACTAAAAATAGAAAAAAACTAGCCACACCTGGTGACACGTGTCTGTAGTCCCAGCTACCAAGGAGGCCGAGGCAGGAGGATTGCTTGAGCCCACGAGTTTGAAGTTGCTGTGAGCTAGGCTGACACCATGGCACTCTAGCCTGGGTGACAGAGCGGGCGAGACTCTGTCTCAAAAAAAAAAAGTAACTATAATTCTATTACATCTAAAAAATTAATCATTAATTCCTTAATGTATCTAATGTTCAAATTTCCAAGTCTCAAGTATCCGAGGTGTTTTATTTGGGTTTTCTGTTAAACTGGGATCTACACAAGGTACACACACTGACTGACTGATGTCTTCCAATTTTCGTTTACTCTGAAGTTTACTATCTTTCTTCCCTTGAAATTCATTTCTTTTTTTGTATTTTCTTTTTTGACCTGAAAATGAGTTTCAATGCAATTCATTTCTTAAAGATACTGGGTTGTCCTATAATATCTAGACTTTTCTGATAGTATATGCAGTTTAACATGTTTCTCTGTCTTCTATAGTTTCTGAAAATTAGTAGTTGGATTTAAAGGCTCCCCTGGATTCGGGTTTATTTTGGAGGTTTTTTTGGGGGGTATAGATTGTGTGTGCCTTTTAATACTGTGAAAGTGACAGACGTGGCCTCAGACTGGGGTGGAGTGGAGGGAGCAGAGCTGTGACGAACCCCGGTGCCTTTGGGTTGGAGACGGCGGGCAGACACGGGGAAGCCGCCATGCTGCCGTGTCCCACGTGTTTCCCCAGTGCCCCGCGTGGGGTGCACCACGTCGGGTCAGTCTCTGTCTTCGCGATGCAGGCAGCTCTCTTCAGAAAGAGCCCCCTGCGGATGGAAGAGCAGCCACTCTCGTGTGGCTCTGGGCACAGGTCCCTTGGAGCCGACTCTGTGACCAGGCCCTTCCACCTTGTCACCCTTGTTGCTGAAGGTGTGGCCCCCTCCTGGGGTCTCCCTTCACAGCTGAGCCACAGCCCCTCTTGTGGCTGGCGCAGCCCACGCGCTTTCTCACTAATCCTCGCAACAAGCTGTGAAGCAAGTGGCAGCTTTGTTTTCAGCTGAGTCAAGTTAGGCTGAGAGGTGAAGTGACTTGGCCATGGCCGTGTGACTTCAGAGGGCAGGGTCAGAGCTGTGACTGGAAGGGAAGAGGCAGCAGCCCTGCCTGTGTTCGGCCTGCGAGGACGACCCCTATACGTCCGATTCTGTCATCCCCTGGGGGACATGCGATATCTCTGTAGCCTTTTATAGGCAGCAGTTTCAGAATGTATTTCTGAAACGTTATTAGACAAAAAGAGCTTTCTTCGTCTTACCACCAGCTCAGGGATCAATTTTTAGGGATAAATGAAACTCCAGGGTATAGATCTCGCGACTGTGTACAGCTGGTGCCAAGGTTCACAGCCCACGTCCCGAGCTTGTCTAGCACGGGGTAGGCAGCGTTTGCCTTGCCTCAGCCGCGGGACGATGGCGCAGCGCCACTCCGCCCACCCCTCCCCTCACGGCCACCCCGCTTCCTAGGCGCTGCTCTTCTACACGGATGCCCTGACCCAGGACGACCCCAAACTCCAGCAGGCCGCGTGCCTGGCGCTCAAGCAGCTGAAGGTGAGTGTCCTGTCTCCCCGCCAGTGACCGACAGAGGACCTGCTTGTGGTTAATGTTAACGTTAGTTAACTTGAACACGACTCCACTGGCACCAAAAGAAGGGAAAAATCGCTGCCAGCAAAACACCTAAACAAGTGGTTTCTGAGGAGCAGCCCTCAGCTCCGGCACCAGGGACCCCAACGACACTTAGCATCTGCTCTGGGTGAACACTCGGGGGGCCCAGGGATTTCCTTCTGAGCTCTTGAATGACAAGCTTTAAAATTCACAGCTAAAAAATTTCAAACTACAATTAGCTCACTGTAAAAAAAGAAGTATGAAATACAGAAATGTAAAAGAAAGTTAGTCCTCACCCAGGTACACAGCAGAGACCATAGTGGTATATTTTTTTGTTTGAGGGTGTGTACACATTTAAGATTGTTGGTCATATTAAATCTGGTTTAGAAACAGTGAACAAAATGAGGACTGGGTTAGACTGGCAGCGCTTTAGAATTCCCCGTGAAGGGTCTATCCAGTGTATAATTTGGCCTGCTCACCCATTCTCACATTGTAGGAAATCTGGATTTTTTAAGTCTACCTTTTTGATCATAAATGTCATTATGAGCATCTTTGTGCATAAAGCTTTTTTAAAAGCGCATGCTATTTTGGACAGTTCCTTGGGCTACAACGGAACCTCCCCAACTGTTACCAAAGGCCTGAGAATATGAACTTTTTGAGACTCCTGATCCAACCCACCCGCCTACACTCCCGTAGATGTGAAGGGTGCCCACTTCAACCTCATCTGCATTTGGGATTCTTGTTTTAAAACATTTCCCATTTGCTAGACAAAAGATAGTGCAGTACAGATTGAACTCACATCCCATTCACTCGGAAATTCTGGGAGACACACTTGGATAGAATCAGAAAACCAGCAAGAGGGTGGGGAGCCAGCAGAGGGCGCTGCAGGGCACAGTGGTCCTTGGCCTCTAGGAGGGCAGCCCCTGGACGTGCCCGCCTGAATGGAAGCCTCCTGGCACAGGCTGCCCTGGAGCGTGGGGGAGGTGGGAAGGGCCGGAAGGAAAAGGCTCCTTTCGGAAGGCAGCCATAAAGACAGGCTCTGCCAATGATGCCAGGCCTGGCTCACTAGCAGATGTCAGGACTGCAGAGGTGAGATGCTTCCCAAGTCCAGTGGTGCCTCTGATGAACCTGAGCCTGAGGCCACATAAGAAGCCTGGGAGCTGCAAGAAAAGGGGCTGAGAAGGCCCAGAGACCGCCCTAAGGCTGGTCCTGCAGGGCTGAGAAAAGTAGATTCTATCTGCTATTGAAAACGTCCCATGGGCCTAATGGACCCTTTTGCTCCTGAACTCAAACAGGGCATTGAAAGCATCGATCAGATCGCCAACCTGTGCCAGTCTGAGCTGGAGGACGTGCGAGCGGCAGCTCGGGAAACCACACTGTCGTTCGGTAAAGTAGAGTCGGACGTCGTGTGCAGTGGGGTTCCCAGGGCCCTTAGACCAGGTGTGCGAGGGAGGCCACTCCCAACTCTCGCAACAGAGACAGAACAGCGCCTGGGACTGGCACCGTCAGCAGCCCCGGTGCAGAATCAACCTCCACGTGCCACTGCACGCTGGGCAAGGCAGGTTTCCCTCACAGTTGAGGGGGCAGGAAGTGTTCCATTATCATCTTAAACTTCAGTAATCTCTGAAACCTAGTGAAGGAAGTCAGCGGCCACGTTCCAACTCAGCAGCCTCTGTTGCAGAGGGAGGGCGGGGCCGCTGGGTGGGCTCTCCACAGATGCTCCTGGTGTGGCCCTTTCGAGACCCGAGACACAGGCGTCAGTGAGCACTGAGGCCACTGTGGCCTGCCAGAGTAGGAAACACCTAGTTGGGAGACACCCAAGTGACAGATCATCTTACTGTTTCAGGTGAAAAAGGACACTTAGCTTTCGAGAAGATGGACAAACTTTGCTCAGAACAAAGAGATGTCTTCTGCCAGGAGGCAGATGTTGAAATCACAATATTTTAAAACGCCTCGGCTGATGAGCTCCAACCTGGCACCTGGTTTTTTGTTGCTGCCCAGCCTGGACGCAGTGACCGAGCTGTGGGCCCGGGATGCTGCGCGCGCTCCTGCAGAAGGGCGGGAGGGTCAGAGCCTCACTCGGGGCTCCAGACCGCTCCCCCGGCCCCAGGCCAAAGCCTGTGCACAGCATTTCCAAGGCTGTCCGGCCTCAGATGAGCGCTGGACTTTTGGCTTTGAGCATCCACCTGACCTCCCCCAGGATGCAGCCCAGCACCAGCCTGCCACGCTACAAAGTGGCCAAGGCCGAGCAAGTTGAGCCCCCTGAATAAAAGGCTCCAGGCTGAATATGTGGCACTGGAGGCGTCCCTGTGTGTCAGCTGGCTCAGCACTTCTGGTTCAATCAGCACTGGGACAGAGGAAGCCGCTAGGCCAGGCCTGCTACTGAAAGACTGTGGTGGGCTCCAGTCATCTCAGCAGCAGCCGCCACCTCGGCAAGCTGGGGAAGGTGGGCGGGCTCAAAGCCAGGGTTTCCACAACCCACGCTCTTAACCTGAGCTGCAGCCTGGATGCCGGTGGAGCTGGGCCAGCAGCTGGCTGCGCGTGGGCCTTACTCGCCGTGTTCACCAGCCGCAGAGCTCTGAGCATCGCGGCAGTAAACCATTCCCTTTGGCCAAACATGTCAAGATGGCGAAACAAGTCACCGTCGGGCCTACTGCATAGATCGCTCCAGGAGTCATACGCTCGTCTGAAGGAAGAGTTCACCGAAGAACATGTTGCTTTAGAGAAAGAAAATTATTTCCCTATTTAAGTCTGTTAAACCACAGGCCTGAGAGGTCTGTGTTAACAATGGAGAGATAACCTGGAGTTTGAATGTCGCTATCAAAAGTGGGATTAGAGACTTTGTAACTTAAACATTTTCATTTAAACATCCTGTATATATTTTGTGCTTTTCTGGTTTAACTTAGTATTTATTTGCCTTGTTCATATGTTCGATTTTCCGAAATTTCAATTAAACTATTTTAATTGGTGTTTCACTTTACCTCCAAACTGTAGACAGTGGTTGTTTCCCCACACAACCGGCTGGGGACAGTCACTGCTGCTGTCCTGTGGGGCTCTGTCCACTGGAGCTGTGTGAGGACGCTTAAGGAGTGTGGCCTCGGGCGGTGCACTCCCTGCACGCTGCCCTGGCTTTTCCATGTGCTCTCGAAGGCTCCCAGCACGCCCGCTGCTGTGCGGGTGCCTTGCAGCCTGGCCTTTAAGAGGAATCGGATGGGGCGAAGGCCAAAGCGGTGAGTCTAGTCAATTGTTTTACGAGGCATTCTCCCTCTTCTTGAAAGCTTAGATGCCATTTGATTGTATGTGAAGCACTGAGGTGGGACAGTAAAGCAGCACTGCCCTCCAGGCCCCTGTGGGTACTCTGGAGCCACGTGACTAAAACCTGTACTTGTCACTTGTCTCCCAGTCCCCTGGGCCCAGCTGGGAGGCTGGCTTTGAAATGGTTATGAAACCTTGAAGCCTATATGAGAATCTTTTGTACTATTTTTGTGACATTTTGCAAGTGTGAAATTCAAAACAAAAAGTCAAAAAATCACTTTGGGGTAATTTACATTGTTTAATTCTGTATACAAGAGACTATACTATTTATATTATTTCTAAGTCAATTCTACATCAAATATGACCTTACAGACATACTGAGATGTGGCAACCATTGTGTCTCTTACAGGCAATTGGCTAAGGGACACGGTTTTGAGGTTAGAACAGTTCTTCAAACAACTTCAAGTTTGTTAATCCGAGGGCCCTATGCATGCGAGGGGTGGGTTTTTGGAAGCTGAGGCCTGAGTGTTAAGCTCCCTAGCAAGGGAAAGCTCTCCCAGCTCGGCGCACTCACAACTGTAGCCCCACTGGATCGACAACATCTGTTTCCCATCAGCAGGGGTGGAAACAACAGCAGGGACACCCATCCTGGCTTAGGGTCATTAAGCAAAGAAATGGGAAGCACCCCAAATCCATGTTCTTTAGAAAAAATTTTATTGTTGCAACTAAACTGCAAACCCATCGCTTATATGGCAAGTTGGAAAACTGTACAGTTTGACAGTTCTGTGAGGTCACAGAAGACCCTGAGGCACGCCCCCCACCCACCCAGTCATGCACCCTTGTATACACACACCTGAAAAGGTATTATACCAAAACACCTCACTTTATTTTTGTAAAAATGGTTTATTCCGTGGCCATTGTAAAAAATAATGACCCGATGAGTAAATATTGGCTTAAGGCATATAGCAGAGCAGCTCGCTACCTCTCTAACATATGTGTAACAAGGTGGAGAGCCATCCGCTCTCCAAGTAGGCGGTTAAACCAGTATATCCATTTTGATGCTACTATATATACACACCCAAACTACTACGTACATATACAAGACTTAAAAAAAAAAAAGCCCAACTCAAAAATGCTACAGCCTGGCACCTAAGCCCTGTCCACACCTCACCAAGGCTCCGTGGGGCGGCGCTGCAAGTGTTCCCGCCACAGAATCTCTGTTCTGGCTTCTCCCACGTGAAAGGCAAAATGTGAAAATGCTGGCAAGAGAGCAGCTCGGGAGCTACAGCTGCCTTTTTGTTCTTGTTAAAAAAGCCACTTGACGTGGAGGGCTTAAGTTCCCCTCGAAGGAAGAGTCGTGAGCACCATCAGTCCCCACAGGGTTCAAGGTAGGGGCAGACGCACCTCTCTCAGCAAGGCGAACTTGGACGGAGACGGCAGCAGGCTGACTCTAAGGGACTGTCACTCAGGCTGTTTCAAGAAGTGTGGCTTCCAAATCACGGTCTGCTCAAGGACAGTGTGAACTTGGAATAGTGGAGGCTGATCCCAAAGTGGGGGGTCCCTGCTTGTCTAAATGTCCAGAGCGTGGGGTGTGAATATGGCTTCCGAAACCCTTGGAATGTCTGAGTTGCAGTGAGACCCGGCTGCACCAGGAAGTCACCAGAGTGTCATGCCAGGAATTAGGCAAGTATCTGTTACTGGAAAACATCACTCCATTGCTGAATGGCGATTACTTCAGCAACAGCCTAAGGAACCACAGCCGTGTAATGATCAGATCATGCAAAGGCAGGCTGGACTTGGACATGGGCACATTAGTAAGCAGAAACCAAAGTTTCTCATTTCAAGCACATGGTATTTCATCAGGACACGAGAAGACCTTACATGCATTCTAATACACACGGGGAAAGCAGTGATTGAGAACAAGGTACTAGGGGAGGATAATGGGGACAAAGTAATCTCACATCATGTATCTTATTAAATAGCCAAGTGTTCATTATATATTATACCACTGTCTATCTTCTCACGTTACCCACAATACCACTAAATAACGACTGCTTACAACCGTCCTCTTTCCCAGTACTGGTCTGACGCAGCAGGCTCGTGGCACAGTCCTACGTTCCCAGTACTACCTGAGGATTTATTATTGTACTTTTTGATAAAGCCCTTGATGCAAGGCTGACATCAAAAAATTTTAATACATTATTGGTTTAAGAAAATGCTGGTGCCCTATGGACACCTTTGGGGGAAAAAAAACTTAAAAAATAAATATGGAGTGGAGAGGCTTACTACACGCACTCTCCACGGAGGCCGGGGCAGGGCGGTGTCGGTGTGCCGCCCCGGGACGTGCTGGGATGCACCAAGAGGGCGTACTTGGGTGGGGTGAGCCCCGAGACTGGCGTAGGCCACCTCTCCTCTGTGCCACCAGCACTGTACTCTCCTTTGCTCTCCTCCAAAAATGGCTTGTGGATTTGGAACTCGAAGGAAGGAAAGGGAAGGGGGTAAGTAAAAGGATGAGGGGGAGAGACACAGCCGGGGAGGGGGGTCTTAGTGCAGAACCAACGTCTGTCCGGGGCCGGGCTCCGCGCTGTCCGGCGGCCCTTACCTGCCGCAGCCTGCCTGCTAGTCGGGCGCGGGCTCTGCGGGCGGAGGCGGACAGTGGGTGGAGGTGGAGTGAGGAGGGTCAGGCTATGTGTTGCTGTTGAACAGGAACTGGAATGAAACCAAACATTTCAGATGAGCCCAGTGCTGCACCCGCAGAGCTGCCGACTCGTGCACGACCTTGGCCACACCCCCCGGCGACTGCAACCTCTGAGGGAGCCACCAGCGAAGCAGCCAAAGGGGTTTGGTGTTTTTTTTTTAAACAATCCCCCTCCCCAAAAACCACTAAGGAAAAAATTGTTTGCATTTTGCAAAACCATCTCCTGTACTCAAAGATGGTCACCTGGAAAGAGGCAAAACATTTAAAACGATGAAAAAAGTCTTGTAAGGGGATTTCCATGACCGGAGTTCTGAGGCTACTCCTCCCTTCGCCTTACTTTAACAGCAACGCACGTCTAGCGCGCGGATTCCTGCTGAAATGGCGCCCATTCTCCAGGTGAAGTGCACCCACTCCTCTGGACCAGCAGCGGGTGCAGTGCTGGTGGCCACCCTGGGGTGAACTCTGACCCTGAGGCAGGGCCTCGAGGAAACCCACTTATGGGGATGGGGTGACGAGGGCCGGTACATGAGCAAGATGGCTGTCACGAGGAGGAATGATGGAGAAATGAACAATGGAAAACCAGCGGGGACACCCTGAGCAAAAGCAGAAGCCGGGTTTTGTTTTCTAGAGATGGCCTTTTGTTGGTTTTCTTCTCAAAGTGGGAAAGCTCGAAGACACTGTCCAAGCCCAGTGTGCACACTGGGCACGACAGTGTCCTAACCCTCTTCTCTAAGGGAGTTTACATTCGTAAAAGTTTGGAATTCTTTCCCTGGGAAATCAAATATAAATTGTATATCTGATCATATCACCTAAGGGTACAAGAAAGTTTCATAAGTACCTAGTTTGTTTTGTTCCATAACAAAATAACAAAAAGCTGCTTTTTTA